TCCGCTTTCTCAGGGAGGCTTAAGAACCTGGGTTCAAATGCCAGCAGGTTCATTAATCAGTCGGTTGGCCTTTGTCATGAGGCTCCTTCACCTTCCTGGCCCCGTTTTCCTTCTCGTTGGCTGATAACACCACATCCAACCCTCTGTGTCCTGTGATGATGAGACACAGGCCTGCCCCCGGCCTGCACTCGGCACCAGGAAGTATCAATGGTATTGTCACAAAGAGCTGGCCTCCTCTTTATCAGCCTCTTCTCCCCTCTTGGATGCAGCTTTTGAGGCCTGGAGCTGTCTGACTGAGTCTGTGGTTTTATCTTAAATAAACACTGGCCTTGCCCTGATGGAGACTCCAGGCCCCACATGCTTCTGCCCAGACAATGCGGTGGCAGCCCGGGAGACCGTGGGATTCTCAGGCACCCTGTTCCTGCAGCCCATCTCCATCCCTGCCTGCCTGCCTGGCTGGGCGTTCGCTTCCTCACCCCAGCAGTGATGTGAGAAAGGGATCCAAGAAAAACTCCCAGAGGAAAACGAGGGCCGATTAAACAGTGTGCTGTCTTTCCTCTCGGGGACTTTGGGGAAGTGACTGTCGAAGTTTCTGGAACATGGGGTCCCTGGAAGGAAGTAACTAGGCAATGGGCAACTCTGTTGTCTGGTCCCATGCTGCCAAACGATGTCCACGCCCCGGAGTCCTGGAGGTCTCCTTTTCTCCCCCATTCTTTCCTGGCTTTTACATTCCACTCAGTTGTAGCGGCTGCTGAAGAAGCCAAGCCCAGAGCTCAGCTCTCTTTCTTTCACATCCCAAGTGCTTCCCACCTCTTCTCTGCCACCCCCGGGCCCAAGACCCATCCTTGTTCACCCGGTCTATTGAAGTGACGTCATGCAGCCATCGCTGGTGTTCTCCCACAGGTGTGTGCATGGATGTGAGTGTGCACTCGGAGGCCAAGGACGAGTGTTTCCCTCCGTGGCTCTCTACCTTTTATTTACTTATTTTGACAGGATCTCTCACTGAGCCTGGAGCTCTCAGGTTCAGCTAGGTTGTGTGGCCAGTGAGCTTCAGGGATCTACCTGTCTCCATGCCCCCACCCCTGCCCTCTGACCTAGGGGTTGCAAGCGTGTGCAGCCGTAACCGGCTCTTATGTGGGTGCTGGGAATCTGAATTCGGGTCTTAGGCGCTTTCCCGACTGAGCCAATTCCCCGGCTCTGTATGGCTAGCTCGGTTCAGTTCCGGTCCCTCCGGAGCTTGCTCGGTAGTGGGTGCTCCCGAATGAGGAGCGAGGAAGAGACCAGTGTGTCTCAGGTTGTCCCTGAGCTTCTGCCCCAACCAGGTCAGCATGGGTGCCCAGGTGAGATACACCTGGCAGAGATATGAATGCCCATCCCCCACTCTACCCACACATCCTGCCTACCTTCCTCTGTTTATAGCTCTGTCACAGGCCTTATTGTAGGGGATGGGAGGCCCCTTGGAGTCAGTACAGGGCACACCCAGACACCAAGTTCTCAGCACACAGGAGATTTACTACCCAGGAGGGGCAAGCTGGGGTGTGGTAGGGACTGCCTCTGTATCAAAGGCAGGCAGCATGGAGCAGCAGCAGATATTTTTTTGTTTGTTTTGTTTCTTTGCAGGGGTGGATTTTAAGGAGGAAAGGGGGAGTCTGTGCTAGGGTGAGTTGGTAAGTCCTGATTGGACAGGTCAGCCAGTGTAGCCAAATAATGAAGTTTGATTGTTGGATCTTGGTGTTTAGTCTCGGGAAGGAGTCAGTGGCCAAATAAGGGACTGGACCTTGGGGGCTCGCTTTAGGCGTGTAATCTAACGGTTTAGTAAGGGGGAGGGAAGGGGGATGGGCCTTGTTGCTATGCTCGGGCGGGTTAGAGAGTCCTTCACTGACCTCCTTCCTCCCCCAGAGATGATGCTCCGCCTTATTCTCCATGAACACCGAGCTCTGCTCCTGTACCACGCGTGGCCGAGGGCCTGGTCCTAGGGACGTGAAGTTGACTGAGATACAGGACGTGAGGCAGAGGCAGGCCAGACGCAGCCCTTGCTCACGATTCCTTCAGCCTGAAGCTGGAGCAGGGCTCCCTCTTCCATCCTCCTGGGCTCCCTGCAGCTTCCCTTCCCATGCTCTCTCTCCCAGGATGCAGTCAGGGGCTCTCATCACTGCTTGGCGGCTGCCCCCTCGCCCATGCACCCCTTACATCTGGCCCAGCCACTGCCCACCGTGGGAACTGAACGATGAGCCGTGGGAGAGCCACGAGCACGGCCACAGAAACTGAACTCGGTCAGGGAAGCCCCACAGGGAAGGTGAAAGGGTGCCCATTCATGAAGCAAGTGTCCTCTCGCCCTCCAGATGCCAGGGAAAGGGGAGCCGGTGGCCTCCAGCTGGAACTCAGAACACACTGTGATGAGCACAGCCAGGCTGTCCCTGGGGAGCCTGTCTTTAGGTCCCTTATCTCCGTGGCCTTGGGGCCCTGGGGAAAGCAGATGCCAGGCTCATTTTTGAGCACAGAGTTCTGCCTCTGATGCTGGCCCTGGCCTCTTAGGGTCATGGCCAGAGCCAGGTGTGGATGGTGACAGAAAGCTTCTGGGGCCTGGCCAGCACCTGGTGCTTCTGCTTTCCCTTCTGAGAGCTGAGCTGGTGGGAATGTTGCCATGGAGATGAGGCCCTGGGGTGTGGGGCACTCCCCCTTCCCATCCCTGCTCTCCTGTTCCCAGCCTCCCTCTACTAGAGGCCTCATCCCATCACCCCCTTGGGGCCTGCTGGTCAGTGACAGCTTTGGTGCCATTTCTGATGAGGATGGGGAATGAGACTCTGGAGATGATAGATGCAGCTGCTGATTAAGACATCCCAGGAGGGACTGGAGAGATGACTCAGCGGTTAAGAGCACTGGCTGCTCTTCCAGAGGACCCAGGTTCAATTCCCAGCGCCCCCATATGGCAGCTCACAACTGTCTATAACTCCAGTTCCAGGGGATCTGACACCCTCACACAGACAGACATGCATACAGACAAACTACCAATGCACATAAATTTAAAAAAAAAAAAAAGGCTTCCCAGGAATGGCATCACCTTCCTGTGACGTGGGCTGTCTCTCTTCCACAGACTTACTCCTTTGTCCTCCTCTCCTCGGTCCTCTGCTGTCTTGCCCTTCCCCCACCCTGTGAACCCCTTTGAATCTTCAAGACTCAGCTCACACAGAACATCGTCTGGCGCTGGGGCTGCACCTTCCTGGGTAGACTGCCTAGCATTGCCCAGCATTGCCGGGCCCCGGGTGTGACATCAGCACTGGGTAAACTGAGCGTGGTGGCACCTGACGTAATCTCGGCTTGAAGCCAGAGCTGTCGTGTTCTTCAAAGTACTCTGTCCCCTGCAGGCTTTTCTCTCATCCCGTCCATATCATGAGCTCTCTGGAGTCAGAGAGCAGGTCCCATGTCTGTCTGCAAAACTTCATGCTCAACCTGGTGTCCAGTATCCAGGCCATGCCCAGTGTGCGGAAGGCCTAGAGTGAGGCTTCAGATCAGCGAGCCTCTGAGAAGACCTGGGAGTGGAGCCTGGCTTCCACAGGGTTTTGTGCAGAAGCCCCATGGAGCAGAGGTTACATGGTGTGTGGCCCAGAGTGAACCTCTGGTGTCTACCTGGTGAATGGAGGCACAGGGTCCCACCAGAGCCTGCTTCATAGAAGAGATCTTGAAAGGAAGCAAAGGAAAAGGCTTCAGGATCAGAAACTAGAGGAAAAATTGCCCCAGCATGGCAGAGTTGCCCACTCTGAAGCTGGACTCATGTATGTGTTTGTATGCCTGTGTGCATGCATGTGTGTGCGCATGCTCAATTGCTCAGATACAGGGACTCTAGTGCACAGTAGGCTCCTTGAGGGCCTGAGAAGCATGAAGTGGTGTGACTACCCTGGGAGCCACAGGAACCTTCCAGGCCACACATGTGCAGGCATGTGGCCTTTAGCAGGTGGCAGGTAGTATAGGAGCTGAGGAGGGGGAGGAGGGGGAGGGAGTCTCCTGGGTGCTCGGGAAACACTAAGCCCACCCTGTCCCCCAGTAGGATGAGTTACAACTTGAGCCTGGGCCACCAGATTGGAATGTGGGAAACAAGGCTTTGAGGCCTCTGTAAGCCTGGCAAACATATCTAGCCCTCACAGGAGGAAGCAGGAAGTCAGTCCCTAATGAATGAAGCCTTTCAAGCCTTATCCAATTCCTGCCTTTCTCCCAGACAAGGTCATCTGGGATCTGAAAACCATGGCAGGGTGCCCACCTTGCAGGCAGGGATTCAGGGCCCTGTGCTGGCTGGTAGGGAAACCTACCATCCTGTTGGGTGGACACATGTCTTAGTTAGGGTTACTATTGCTGTGATGAAACACTATGATCAAAAGCGAGTTGGGAGGAGAGTTTATTTGACTTACATATCCACATCATAGCCCATCATTGAAGGAGTCAGGACAGGAACTCAAACAGGGCCAGAACCTGCAGGCAGGAGCTGATGCAGAGGCCATGGAGGGGTGCCGCTTACAGGTTTGCTCATCATGGCCTGCTCACCCTGCTTTTTTATAGAACCCAGGACCACCTGCCTAGGGATGGCACCACCTACAATGTGCTAGGCCCCTCCCCCATCGGTCACTAATTAAGAAAATACAGATTTGACTACAGCCTGATATTATAGAGGCATTTTCTTAATTAGTGTCCCCTCCTCTCAGATGACTTAAGCTTATGTCAAGTTGACACAGAATTATCCAACACAGCACATATTGCCATACCCGAGACACATCTGTAAGGCCACTGCAGAGAGGAGGAACATGGGACACACTTGTGATAACAGCTAAGATTCCAGAGTACCCCTAGTCTTGTCCACTCTGCCCAGAGGCCCTTATATACACCCCAGGACAAGGCTTCTCCTCCACAGACAGTAATTACCATGGTGCTTTTGTACAGCCTGGAGTGCTGAGGATTTGGGAAGGACTCACCCAGTTGGGACACAACTCTGTTATTTCTTGACATTCTAGAAAATTCCACGGCCAGCGTGAGTGAGGCAGAGAGGAAGGCCCAAGTGTACTACCGTGCGTGTATGAACGAAACTAGGATTGAGGAGCTTCGGGCCAAGCCCCTGATGGAGCTGATTGAGAAGGTGGGTGCTCAGGTGGATGTCCACTGCTTCCCTCTGCTCAGCCTCCCGCAAGGCCCTCTGGCTTCCGCCCCAGCTCTCAGCCACCTCACACCTCCAGCTACCACACCCAGCCGGAGCTCGGTGCCCATCAGTCTGTTGTGGGTGTTGGGGCTGCCTGAGCATGTATGTGCATGGCTCCGTGTGGGTGGATCTGTCTGTGTGGAGGGTATGGGGTGCTTCAGCTTCGGGGGGAGATGAATGTGTGTGTCTAGGTAGAGGCGAGGACTGTATTGGTGTTAAAATCTTCCTCTCTGTTGCTGTTCTGGTTCTGTGTATGTGATGTAAAGGGGTGTGTTGTTCCAGCAGCACCCTAGACTTTTGGGTCAGAAATAGCTCTCTGCAGGAGGAGGACCCTGCGATTACTACTGACTTGTTCATCCGTTTCTTCTTTGCTTTGTTGGCTTTTTTGGGTTTTTGTTGTTGTTGTTTTTATTTTTTAGAGACAGAGTCAAATAGCCTCAGGCTTGCTATGTAGCCAAGGATGCCCTTGAACTTCTGATCTTGCTGCCTTGACCTCCTGAGGGCTGAGATTACAGGCGTGTGCCACCATGCCTGGTTTTGTGCAATGCTAGAGACTGAACCGAGGGCCTTGTGCATGTGAGATGTGCACCCTGCCAGCTGAGCTCCATCCCTGGCCTCCTGCCCCAACCAGTCCGTCCTGACCATATTTGCAGTCTTGGGTGGCCTCTGAGTGGGGCTGCCCGAGGCTAGCCTTGCTTCCCAGTCCAGGCAGAGGTGGCTGGGAATGTTTTCTAGTCACCCCTCCTCCCTCATGGGCTTTGCCTCTCAGCTCACCTTGGGGAAGGTCTTGCATTGGGGTTGGTGACCCTGGGACAGTATCTGTCCATCCTCTCTTGCACAGGTCCCATGGGCCAGCATGTGCCAAGCTAGGGGGGGCCAAGGGCAGAGTGTGTGTGTGTGTGTGTGTGTGTGTGTGTGTGTGTGTGTGCATGTATATTTATTTGGGCACATGGAGGCCAGAGGAGGGCATCAGGTGTCCTGCTTTGTCCTTCTCTTCCTTGTCCCCTGAGATAGGGTCTCCTCACTGAACATGGGGATAGCCAGCAAGTCCCTGCAGTCCACCCTTTTTGTTGTTGTTGTTTTGTTTTCCGAGACAGGGTTTCTCTGTGTAGTTTTTGGTACCTGTCCTGGATCTCGCTCTGTAGACCAGGCTGGCCTCAAACTCATAGAGATCCTCCTGCCTCTGCCTCCCAAGCACTAGGATTAAAGGTGTGCGCCACCACCGCCCAGCTGATCCTCCCATTCTTACGGCACTGGGGTCATTAGGCCTGCAAGATGCTGCACCCAGCTTTTATTGTGAGTGCTTGGAATTTCAGCGTGGTTTCCATGCTTGTGGAGCAAGCACTCATTACCAGTTTGCAGGACAAGACGACTGTGACTTCTCAGTCTTTTCCCCATAAACACCTCTGGAGTTATGTTTGAATGTCACTGTGTCCGTGTGACTCAGGAAACCCACCTCCATCACAGCCATGTGGGAGCAACAGACATGTGTGCTCTTAGCACACTTAAGGACAAGTTGGCCAGGTGTGTTGGCACACACTTTTAATCCCAGCTCTCTGGAAGCAGAGGCAGGGGGTCTCTGTGAGTTCGAGGCCAGCCTGGTCTACAGAGTGAGTTCCAGGATAGCCAGGGCTACATGGTGAGACCCTGTCTGTCTAGAGAATCTAAAAACAACAAAATAAAAACCCAAGATGAATGATGCCCTAAGTACACAAAAATGCACAGAAACCCTCAGTGACCATCACCCTGTTCGTCTGCTTAGGAGGGCAGAGAACGGACTGCCCCAGAGTCACAGAACATGAGGCTCTGTGATGTGCATAGTGTTCTCACACCAGCTCACCACAGGCACACACCCGTGCACACATGCACAGGCACACACCCGTGCACACACGCACCACCCCGTCTGCTCTCTCCCCCACAGCTTGGAGGCTGGAATATCACAGGACCCTGGGCCAAGGACAACTTCCAGGACACGCTGCAGGTGGTCACAGCCCACTACCGCACCTCCCCCTTCTTCTCCGTCTATGTCAGCGCCGACTCCAAGAACTCCAACAGCAATGTGATCCAGGTGGGCTGAGCCTAGGAGATGACATTAGCTCCTGGACGCGACCGGTGACACCCTCTGCTCCCCGTCCTCAGCCCCTGGCCTTTGTGTCCATCTCTCTGTGCTTTCACCTGGCCCATCCATACCACTCACTTGCTGTGTGATCTTAGGCAAGTGGCTCAGCTTCTCTGAACTATACTTTCCCTGTCAACCAAATGCACTATAATAACTCCTACCTGAGATGAGGTTTGCCGAGATGGGACCAGAAGCCATGGCAGCTCTCTAGAATGCTCCTCTCCTCCCTGTCCAACTCTCAGATGGTCCTTTACCACCATTGTCCCCACAAGGTACCATTCCAGTTCTGCAGGGTAGCAGCCATGTCCCCTATTTTCTATAAGGAGGATCCAAAGGATCAGAAAGGTTTAGTAACTTCGCCATGCTCACACAGCTTGGGGTGGCTTGAACCACATGGACAATGTTGGTGAAATAGAGTGTTTTGCCTAGGCCCAGGGTTGTTTAAATAGGTTTGTCTAGCCCTTCAGAAGAACCCAAGTCCCTGCAGATTGGTGGGCATGGACCTGTCCCACCCCTGGTCGCTGGGTGGATGTATCAGTGATGGCTATCAGCTTCCTTCTGTTCCTGCTGGGACCTGCTCCAGGGAAGGTGGTAGCCAAGCAGGGGCCTCCCTCTCACCCTGCATCTCTCTGCAGGTGGACCAGTCCGGCCTCGGCTTGCCCTCTAGGGACTATTACCTGAACAAGACGGAAAATGAGAAGGTGAGCTTGCCCAGCCTGCCCCCCTCTGCCGCCCAGCCTGCCCCCCTCTGCCGCCCAGCCTGCCCCCCTCTGCACACCCCACACAACTGGACTTCTACAGAGGACTCAGTTTCCTGAAGGTTGACAAGCAGCCCTCGGGGTGGTCCCCAAACTTCCAGTCAGGCGTTGCAGGCACTGGGACATCATTTATCCCTTCTCTAAAGAAGGCGGTGGTGACAGCCGCCACCATCTGTCGGCATGAGGCCTTTTGTGGCATCACCGCCGTTAAGTTGATGGGACTTTTACCTTGCCTCTAACTCAGGGACACCCAGGGACTGCTCACGGTCACAGTAAGGGTGAGGTCGGTTTGCACACCCAGAGCCAGCTCCTCCAGAACCTTCTGTGCCTGTGATGCCCTCAGGGAGACCTGGCCTGAGGCTCACACCCACAGGTTCTTCCATTTTCTCACTGTGCCTACTCAGTGCCCGATGCTGGGGGGATGGTCCCCAGGGACCTCGAGGTCTAGGAGAGGTGAACCTCGCTTGACTGATCACCCAGCGAGAGACACAGCCTCACACTGTTAGCGGAGAGGCAGCTGAAGAAATGTAAGGCGGGGCACTTGACTCAGATCAAGGGACACACAGTGGCAGGTGGCTCAGAGCAGGCGCGTTAAAGGGATAAAAATTGGGCCCGTGAGATGGTTTAGCAGGCAGAGAGGCTTGCCACACAAACCTGGCAAATGAGTTTGATCTCCAGAACTCACACAAAGGTGGGAAGGGAGAACTGAGTCCAAGAGGCTGTCCTCGGACCTCCACACACACAACACAGTGCATACAATCTCCAACTCTCTCTCTCTCTCTCTTTCTCTCTCTCTCTCTCTCTCTCTCTCTCTCTCTCTCTCTCTCTCTCTC